ACGAGCTGATCTTAACACCGCTTTTACTTTTAGAAATTTCTATTTTGAAAGAAGTTATGACGATGCGACGACGAATGTATTTTTGGAGAAAGATATTTAGGAACACTTTAGTTAGATTAGAGCAGGAATTTGTACTATAGAAAGTAGCCAGAATAATATCGCACTTGTTGCATTTTAGCTCCACTTGTTTTCTTGGCCTTCGACAATTTATGCCAACTTCATATCCAAAGACAATTCTAATGCTTTGGATTTGTCGACTTCGCAAAAAGTTGACTTCTTACTTTCATTTCTTTACTCTATGCGATCTAATGCCAAAACCACATTCGCAAAAAGTCCGATACATTCTTGAGTGAACGCGAGCTATATTGAAAGCTGTCTAAGAAGAACCAGTGAGCCACCAGCCCTTTAATTTGATAGCTCAACAATGTCATGATAAGACGTTCAAAGTCCGCTTTAGGCAGTGTTCAATTATTAGCTAACGCTATAATTGAGCTTTCTGAGTTGAGGATTCTACTTCGCGCCATTACAAAACATCAGTGCTAAAATTCTACAAATTTGTAAGATCCTTGCAACGGGTCCAGTCTACAGTTAGAATTAGGCATGATAATGAAGATAACGCTCTTTTTGCTCTTAGTAGAAAAACTCTTCTCTCTAGTCCTTAGTCCTTTTACAAAGAACCTGAACCTCGCCATAAAGCCGATGTCATGTTTACTCGCAGTAATTAGATGTTCTGAGTAATGGTAGCATAAGACAGTCCAATCCGATTTACGCTCAAAGATGAGGTTTTTAGGAGCAACGTGAGTTGATTAGAGACGGCACCCTTCGTCTCATTTACTAACCAAGAGGGGAGTTTATTATCATACCGCGAAAGCTAGATCGTGCTACAACAGAGAGTAATTTGTCCGATGAGACTAAACGAGGGCGACTAAAAATGAATTCATTTCTCGAAGACTTGATCACATCTGGCTGATGATTGGTAGAAATGTTGGCAACGGAAAGTTGACCCAGCAGACTCAAAAATTGTAATCTACTGTGCCTCGTCTTTTGCAATTTCAAAACGCAACATTTCAAACTGCAACATTTTCAAATGGTCGGGCAATTACTTTGCACAAGTAAGAAGGTTGAATGGGGCAAAGATTAGCATGGTGCTGCTTTGCTTTACTAGCAAAATCAGCCAGTGCTATGGCGATGTCCCTAAATGACTGCCGCCATATCGATGACTGTCATATCGTAACGTCAACACAATCCGAAATGGATGAGTGTTTTGAAATACTCATTCATCACAATTTAGAATTAGTAGAGAGAAGCCAGGAGAAGGCTGTCTGCTCAATCTCAATACTTATCTGATGCTGGCTGGCGGAACGGCACACGTAGAGCGGTATTGGAAAGATAACTGCAAAAACATTTAAACGCAAAATCCTCTACCACCTGCCATAACGCATTATTCGTAACATTTACAGAACAACAGTCAGTATTTGTAGCACCGAAAGAGAGAGATTGGAGTCTCCAAAAGTGGATCCAACTCTAGCAATGGCTACTTTGCGATCGAAATATCCAAAGGGAAGGTTGATGAACTGAAGCAATATATCCCAACTAGAATTCCCCTATGATTGCCATTCATATCCGACAAAGTGACTACCGCAGTTAAGCAGCGTCTAGCTCGAGCCAGTTAGAATGATGTTGTTCTAATGAACATCCCACACGACAGCATTAAAAAAAACAGCTTGTCCACAATAGGTTGTATGGTATCTTGCATCTCGCAACTGTGTAGTTTGTCCTAATTAAGGATTGCTCCAAGTGCGGAGTAGTCTATCAATTGGAGTGCGTAGATTTTCATGCCATCTCGTATGTCTATTAGGGAAGCACAGAAAGGAAGTCTATAAAGACGATTTGATAATAAATTAAGTATTCCGGCATAAAGGAAATATCTCTGCTCGGAAAGTATTGGAGACTTTATGCATTCTTGCGCGTAATCTTAAAATGGGCAGCAAGAACAAGCAATTGTCTACCACGAGTGACTTGCAGCCGTTCTTATCGTTCTGTAAGCTATAAAACTGTTCACGACTACATGAGTGCGTAAAATCATTGCAGCGCAAAGTCTCATCGTCATACGTAGGCAGTGAAGCTAAGTGAGCTAGCATCTGCTAAGCTCTGTGGAACACTGACAAGCCACCATGGCTTGGACCCTCCGCAGTCATTAAGGAGTTGAATGTGTGATGTGGCAGAGGTATTTGATGGTATAAGCGCCTGATAAGTAATTGACTCATTTTCCGGCTTTTAAGGACGGCGTATTGATGTGTTCCAAACATTATTACAGCATAGAAAAAACATAAAGTTTACTTCTGCTTCTTT